TAAACTAAGCAAATCTATAATTACCATCCATCTCCAGTGAAGCCAAGAAAACCAGTTAGGCACCCTAGGCATTTGTGAAAATTTGTCTATGATATGATGGATATTGTCCAACTGTACTTGAACAGTCTGAGAGAAATCAGACAAATTAAAGCAACCCATTTCTGGGATCTGTTCACATCCCATATGTTCTTTATTCTCTCTATGTCTAGATTCAGGAAGGAAAATTTACAATCACCTAAATCATCAGTAACTGCGGATAAGAGGACGCCATGCACGCATTTTGTACCCAAACATCATTTGAGGTCAGGATTTATGGTTGTGTGTGTATGTGAGTGTTTACTATTTCAGAAAAATAATAAAAAACAGTTTGGTATAGATCCCCCAAAACATTCTGCAACATACGGCGAAAGTGATTTAAAGACTCAGAGGGAAAAACACTAAAAAAAAAAGATTTAAAAATCTCATCTCAAGATGATATACCAAAATCAATTGTTTCCTTATTGTATTAGTTTCTTGGGGCTACTGTAATAAATTCTTTCCCAGAGGGACTTGAAGAAAAACTATCAAAGTGTTAGCCTGATGCACTTAATAAGAATTGACCCAAGGAGTATTTAGGAGAACAGAGAATGAGCTGAGAGTGGAGACGAAAAGCGAGATGGCTGAGGGTGGGTAGAATAGCAAAGAAAGCAATAAATTTCTCATTGGATGCAACAAAGAGCAGAGTTAGGGTACAGAAGTCTGTAATATTTCAACTTTAAGAATGTAGAGAGCGAAAAGCCCAGAGGTGTACCAAGAAATAAGGTGCAGGAAAAAGAAAGGAGATCCAACCGATCAGTTACAGGTTTCCTGAAGAAGAATTAAGAAAGAATAAAAATTAAACAATCATCAGACCCAATCAGGAAACAATTGTTAAAAAATCTTGGAAACTTCACTGAAACAGGACCTGGTCCACAGATTAAAATCACTCATCACATTCCAGGTCAAATTAATGGGGAAAAGACACCTTAGACATACTCTGACAACATTTTTTACATTTCAAAGATAAAAAGAAAACTTCCACATTTAATCAGAAAAACATGGTTTACCTATAAAGGAGTAAGAATCAAGGTGGCTTCAGATTTCACCATATCACTAGATTTCAGGAGAAATAGCACAGTAGGTATAGAGATTTGAAGAGCAGAGAATTCTTTATCCAGCCAAGTTATCATTCATACAAAATACAAGGGCTCAGACAAAGTATTTCTCAAATATCTTTCTTGAATTACTTGAATATATGCTCTTTGCATATGTGTCCTACAGTTGAGAGGTAAATATTCAAGAATAATAAATTTGCATATAAGGTCCTAATAGTGAAATTCAAAAGCATTAGCAGTGCGGGATCTGAAACAGGGTGTTCAGGCAAATGCTTTAAAAGCAGCCCTGGGAGCGGAGAGGACAGGCTTGCTGTGTAGAGTCTGATGACGTCGTGGGGTGGAAGTACTACCACGTGATTGATTTCAAGCTACCAGTGTGTCGGTGCAGAGCTGGGAAGAAATGCATGCAGTTGATTCGCACATGCTTTTTAGGATCTGGTTCCAGCTGGACCAGTTAGTTCACCATTTGGGGGAAAACATGATTTAAAAATCTCATCTCAATTTGATATACCAAAATCAATTGTTTCTTCATTGTATTAGTTTCTTGGGGCTACCATAGTAAGTTGCCACAAACTGGGTGGCTTAAATCAACAGAAATTTGCTCTCTCACAGCTCTGCAGGCTAGTGGGCTGGACTCAGGTACGACAAGGTCGTCCTTTCTCTCTGTGGCTGGATTCCTGCCTCGCAGCTGCTGGTGGCGGCCCGCAGCCCTTGGCACCCTTGGCCAGTACACTCATCAGCCCATCTCCGCCTCCATCGTCACACGGCGTTCTCCCCGAGTGGGTCTGTCTCTGTTTTCACTTCTTACAAGGACACTTGTAAGTCAGTGGATTAGGGTCCATCCTAATGTGCTGTGATCTGATTTCAATGTAGTTAATTATACCACAAAGATCCCATTTCCATTCTGAGGTTCTGGATGGACATGGATTGGTGGTGGTTGGTGGGCACACTGTTCAAACCAGTATAAGTGTTAACACAAAATGTACAAAAAAAAAACCATGCAAAAAAGCTGAGTGGGTCTGTCTCTGTTTTCACTTCTTACAAGGACACTTGTAAGTCAGTGGATTAGGGTCCATCCTAATGTGCTGTGATCTGATTTCAATGTAGTTAATTATACCACAAAGATCCCATTTCCAAATAAGCTCTCATTCTGAGGTTCTGGATGGACATGGATTGGTGGTGGTTGGTGGGCACACTGTTCAAACCAGTATAAGTGTTAACACAAAATGTACAAAAAAAAAACCATGCAAAAAAGCATTCATGTGAATACTTATTCTGAGGATAGAATATTTTCTTTAGGAAGAAATAACCGAAGGAGGATTTATACATTTGACTCCAGAAGTTTAAAGTTTCTTCTTGTCAAAACATGAACAAAATTGAAAGTCCAACGGTAATTTGGGGGAAAATTTTCATCAGGTATAAAAAGAAAAAGGGTTAAATCTCTTTCCTATATAAAGAACTGTGTAAATAGATGTGAAAATTTAGTTTCAGGGAATGATTGGAAATAGAGTGGAAAAGTCACCAAAGAGTACATGAGGTGGCTCATGAAATTAAGTATTCAACCATATTAATAATTAAATACATTTACATTAAAACAGCAGCAAGCTATCTATTTTTAACTACTGAAGTAGCAAAAACAAAGAGAAAAGATAATGATGGTGTACAGTCTCCTGGGAGTATAAATTAGTGCAGCCTTTCTTGTAGAAAAACAATAGAATTGACATGTATCAAGAACCTTAAAAATGTTCTTGCCTTTTGAATTAGTAATAACACTTCTAGAAGTCAATCCTAAAGTAATCTTCAAATATATGAAGCATAAAAAGTGGAAATAAAAAAATTATCAAAGAGTGAAGTATTCTCTTGAACAATTAGGAACCCTCTATTGTTGAGGATTTATTGAAAAGAGTGTAATCCATCCTACCTACTGTAAGCATAAAGGGATTTATTTAAATAGATTTTAGAGTTGTTGGAAGGGTGATGAATCAAAGTTGGGAGGGTGGGGGGAACGAAGAACAACTTCAAAAGCTGCAGCACAGAGCTTGCTGTCATCAATAGAGGCAGCATCAGAAAGCACCTGCCACATTGGGGGGGCCACAGCATCGGCTGTTGGCTCCAGACTTGTGCTACTTCAGTCTGAATCTGACTTTAAGAATGGATCCTGTCCAAGCAGGAGCTCTGTGGCATCTTATTACACTGATGGACAGTGACTGCGAAGGGGAATGAGGGGGACTCGATAATAAGGGTGAATGTAGTAACCACACTGTTTTTCCTGTTAAACATTCATAAGAGTGTCTATCAATGATACCTTAATAAAAAATAAAAAATAATTCATCCATTAAAAAAAAACGGATCCTGTCTCTGAGCTCATTTAACTCAGTTCAAAATTCAAGACACCCAGCTGCATCTCATTGGCTGAACCTACATCACAGCTGTTTCATATATAATATTTATGTCATATATATGTACACACACAGATAGAGTATTCATGTTAAAAGTATATATAACTATTGTATTAGGGTTCTCCAGAGAAACACACCAAGAGATTCCTCCCTCTGTCTCCCCCTCTCTCTCTATCTATCTAAAGAGACTTATGATAAAGAACTGGTTTGTCTAATTATGGAGGCTGGGAAGTCCCCGCAACTGCTCTCTTCAAGCTGGGGACCCAGTACAGCTGCTGGTGTAGTTCCAGTGTGAGTCTGAAGGCCTGAGAGCCAGGAAAACCAATGGTGTAAGGTCTAGCCCAAGACCGAAGGCTTGAGAACCAAGGGTGTAGACCCCAGGCTGGAAGCAGAAGACCGATGTCTCAGCTCCGAGTGGTCAGGGGGCGAATTCCCCCGCCTGCCTATTTTTCCTATTCAGGCCCTCCATAGGTTGGATGAGGCCCACCCACACTGGGGAGGGCACCCTGCTTTCCTCAGTCTACCAGTTCAAATGCTGATCTCATCCAGAAACATCACAGGCACATCTGGAAATAATATTTAACCAGATATCTGGGCACCCTTCAAGTTGACACATAAAATCAAGTTGACACAGTTATATAGACTCTTACTTCATAAACTCATTTATCAGTCATAAATAAATCAATGGGTATAAACATTGCTTGCAAGGAAAAACAAAACCCGAGAAATAGTATGTATATGGTCTTTTCCTGATTAACTAGCAATCATATTTTCTTTCACGTAGAGTGCTACTTTTTGGTAAAGTTCCATTGGTCTTTTGAGTGAATAAATTTTACTGTTCATCAACTGTGGCAAGCCTCCTAAATTCTTCAGGGTCCTTCCTGTCTCCTCCATAAATAAGATTTTCCTTTTGTAAAATTAGAAATTTTCTAATGTAACTCAATTCCTGAAACAAAACTACCCACAGGTAGAGCAAAAAGATGTGTTTTTGCGATTCTGCCTTATGAGGCAGCTTATCCTAGTAAACGTCTGTCTGGGCCCTACTTTCAACTTGGCATGTGACATAGTACAAGGCTTTCCTCAAAGATTGTGACTTAATGGCCCCACTTCATTACAAGAGGCCTTTTACAGGGATGCTAAAAAGGATAAACTTGCGTGAAAATAAAATTAACCCAATAACAGATATACATTAACAAACCTTTCCCCCAAAATGTATCCTTAGTATAAATATATTTAGCCTCATCCTAACACATGGTGATTATAGGGCATGCTTTTAAGAAGATTCCAGTCTACGTGCTGTTTTTTTGACTTTCTTTTCTATTTTGAACAGTGGGTGAAGAATGGTGGTATTAGTCATATTTTAGGGAAATAGGAAAATGACTCCTGTGTGTACATAACATAAAATTTGTTACTCAGAATACTTTAGCATAGGCAGGTAGTGACTCAGGACAGACAGAAATGGAAGAAATTGCTCTTTGCCCTGCATCTAATATAGGTATAAGTAGAAACGGTTTACTTTAAAAGCTGATGTAATCCACCTAACACTTGAATCACAACCTGAAATGAAATGAAAATAGAAGTTCTGCTTTCAGCAGCTGTAATATAATTAACTCTTAGGCTCTGTTTTTACCTCGCTACCCAATCAACTTTTTGCATCTACTAAGGTATGTTTGGGGTTGTTTGCTGTTCATGATTTGAAAGACTTGGAGGTGAGGTGACATGAGTGTATAATTAGTCTTAAAGAAAGCATGTGAGACACATCTGCTCACC